CACCAACACCACCACCACCAATAATACTTCTGTTCTTTTCCTCAGCCTCTCCTAAACTGAAAAAAGCGACCCAAAAGGAACAAAAAGAGGACAGGAGCATCCTCACAACACCGAGGAGTGTTTCCTCCCGGTGCAGCCCCATGGGGACACAGTGCCCCTCGTGCCCTGCTCCCTCCAAGTCCCCCAGGACTCTACCCCACCGTCCCCCTGGTCTGCAGTAGCTGGGAGAGGCTGGGACGCCCTAACTGGACCCAGCCCAGCGCCGTGGGCAGGCTGTGTCCCCTGCCTGCCCGCAGGGGCTCTGTCACTCACATCACCCAGTGGAGGCCCCTGGCCAGCAGCTCCCGGCCCCGGCGCAGAGCCCGGCCCAGGCGCAGCGTCTGGTGAGCGGCACCCACGGCACTCTGCAAGGCAAAGGGCACTGCCAGGGCCTGTGCCGGGCACAGGGCACTGCCAGCACACTGCCACACACACCCACCTTGGCTGCACTGCAGTCGGCCACCACGTCCATCCTGGGCACGAACTTAGGGAATTCCAGCGCCGCTGCAAAGACAGGCAGGGTCGGGGGGTTTGGTCCCCAGCTGGTGGTGTGGGCAGCCCCCACCCACCAAATAAACCCTGAGGCCGCTCAGGATTTCAGCCTCAGTGCAGCCCTCCAAGATACTTTGGGAGCATGGATGAAGGCAGGAATTCCCTGCAAAGGCCAGAGTGGTGCGTGGTCATGGAGTGGCAGCACATGGCAGGGGAAAACTGACCCTGAAATCCCCTAATCCTGCTCCAGGGACCAGAAACAGGACTGGGAGGTGGCACTGGGAACTGGAATCAGGGTTGGGAATTGGCACTGGGAACCTGCTGCTGGAACTGGGGTCACTGCTGGGAATGGGGACTGGCACAACCTGGCAGTGGGAAAAGCAACCAGTCTGGAGAACTGGGAACCCCAGCGGGAACTGGGATCCAGGTCAAACGCTGCCCAAGCCCCAGGAGCTGGGATCACACAGGAAATGGGCCCATCAGCCAGCTGGGAAATGGGAAATCTCTCAGGATAATAACTGGAACAAATCCCTCTTCCAGCAGCCACTCTCCAACCAGCCACACTCACGGTCTCGGTACCGGACCCCCACCACGTCCTCGGGCTGCTCCGAGGTGCTCAGCAAAGTCAGGGGGCTGCTCTCTGTGGTTTTGCAGAAATTGTGAGCTTGTAGATTGGGATCCAGCTCATACAGGTGTCCTTCAAAAAAATATTCTTGGTGGTGAGGGACTATATTTGTCTGTTTGTAGACGGCATCTAAAAACTTGGTGGTACTGAAATGGAGAAAGAAGGGAAAGGATGGGGATAAGCAATGAGGTGAGCACACAGATACCCATCCCTTTAGCAGCCTGCTGCCCTCAAAATACCAAGATGTTGATATTTTCTCTTAGCAAAGTATCAGACAAGGTGAGCAGAGCACGCTGGACCTCTCTGTGTGCTCACAGCTCTGTTAGTGCTCTCCCAGCAAAAGCTGATTTGAGCCTGCTGTGTTTTAACCTGGCTTGGGAGCAGTGCAAAAGGAATGCTGCTGCCCCCAGGTTCCCCTATTGAAGTGAGGTGAAATCACAGCTCCACTCCCAAATTTACCTCCAAGCCAGCCTTACGTGTTGTAGGAGTGGATGTAGATGCGATGGGAGGACGCCTGCTGCAAGGAGAACACGTCCACCACGATCCTGTGCAAAATGTCGTTGGTTCCTGCAAAAAACTGGTCAAATCCCCAGCATTTCTCCTGGTCCACCTCCAGGATATTCGCCAGGATGGGGATCAGCTGGTCCTTCAGCCCCCTGCAAAGGGAGAAGAGAGGTTGGCATGGGCTGGTGTAACCCCGAGTCACAAACACTGCCCTGCACTCCCTTCTCCTGTCTGGAAAGCAGAGATCTGGTCTGAAAGCTGTGACAGCTGGAGATGAAAGGTTGCTCTGCCTTGTTAACCCCCCCTGGGCTGTCTGAGGGCACGGGAGCTGCAGCCCCAGCAGGGTTCACTCACGTGGAGAGGCGGCAGGTGATGGGCAGCTCGTAGCTCCACTCGATGGTCCCGTTCTCCTGCCTCTGGATCCCTGCGATGGCCCCAGGAGGCTTCTCCGTGGTGATTCTGTACCTGTGGGGAGGGAATTGTTGCTGCTGACTCCAGCCAAGCGGGCTCTGTTTGGGCACTGAGTCCCTCGGGTGGAGGGAAAGGGCAGAGCCTGGAAGTGCTGGGAAAGACATGATTCACTGAGGGAAAAGAAAGTGCCCAGAGGGAAAATACTGCAAGGAGCAGTCCAAACCTTCCAAGTGAGCACTAACCCTGCCTCCCCTTCTGTGGGAATCCAGAGCTTCCCTCTGGCTGCCCTGGGACCTTGGCAGGGGTCAGGAACCCCCTGGACAGAGCCCCCAGAGACACTGGCTGTGATCTCTGCCCATGGAAAAGAGTTTTCAATCTTACAGGATCAATTACCAGCTATGAGTGTTTGATATAAGGAATAATTAAGTGTGGCACGGGTGCAAAAGTAAAATTTTAGGATTCTAGATGAGGGGTCCAAAGGGGACAAGATGGAGGAAATTGGGTGTGCCTTGTCCTTTTTCTCCTTCTTCATGCCCTCCATGTCTCACTGTGGTGTTGGCATTTTTCTGTTGGTTCGGGCTGGAGACACACTGTCCAACGTAGGTGACAGATATTGGCACGTTCTTGTAAATCCAGCCCAGGGAGTTTCTGGTATTGAATGTTTGTCACATCCCACTGAGGGCAGAGCCCCACACGCTGCCCTGCAGGACAGAGCTGGGCAGGGCAGCAGAACATGTGAGAGATAAACAGAATAAACAACCTGGAAACCAGCACAGACCAATTATGACTTCTGCTTTGGCAGCGGGGCTGACAGACAGAGACTTTCTGCATTTTGGAATCATCAATACCTCAGATTCTGACACCCTTCCAGCTGTTTAGCCTGGAGGTCATGGGAATGCATTTTACAGAATCCTGGGATTATCTGGCTTGGAAGGGACCTGGTTCCAACCCCCTGCTATGGGCAGGGATGCCACCTACTCTCAGTGCCCCATCCAAGCATCCCATTTGGAGGGAAAACATGGCAAATATGACATGGATTCTTCCCCACGCTGCACACACACCACCCCCAGCACAGCCCCACTCCCAGCCACAGCTGGGCACGGCACCTACATGATCTCCTTGTTCCTGCGGGGTCCCCCGAAGGGCACGAAGGGCAGGCTGCCCGTGGCAGCGTGGTAGAAGGTGACACCAATGCTCCAGAGGTCCACGGTGACACCAAAGGCCTTCTGCTGCGGCTTGCGCAGCACGGCGCGCTCGTACACGTCGGGGTGCTGGGGGGAAGCGCAGAGAAATAGGTCCTACCCAAAAAATATCACCTGGAACAGCTCTGGGTCATCCCCAAAAAACATCAGCTGCAACACAGCTCTGGGTCCTCCCAAAAACCTGTAACACAGCTCAGGGTCCTACCCAAAATCCTGTAACAGAGCTCTGGGTCCTGCCCAAAAACCATCACCTGGAACAAAGCTCTGGCTCCTACCCAAAAAACCATCACCTCTAACAGAGCTCTAACCCAAAATCTTGTAACAGAGCTCTGGGTCCAACCCAATAACCATAAACTGCAACATCTCTGGGTCCTCCCAAAAACCATCACCTGCAACCCTGCCACAAAGCACTGAGCCCCTCCCCTTCCAAAAACACGGGTCAGGCTCTCCAAGTCCCTGCTGCTCCCAAGCCACTCAGCTGCAGGATGGAGGGACAGGGACCAGCCTCCCCCAGGACCACCAGCCTGGGATATGCCCTACTCACGAGATACTCCTCTGTCCCATAGACAGACACAAACTTTTCATCGTCCTCCAGCTCCCGGGCGGCTCCGAAATCCGTCAGTTTGTAGATGCTCTGCCCGTCCTCTCCCACCAGCCTCATGATGTTGCCGGGTTTGATGTCTCTGTGCACGACGCCGTTCTCACGGAGGTGGTTCATCCCTGCCACTGGCACACGGGGGAAGCAGCATTTGTGTGGGGGGCTCCAGGGGGCTCAGTTGGAGTTTAGGCATGAGAAAAGGGCTGGAGAGGGGGTAAATCCCACGGTGGTTGGATTTAGATGGGGATCTGTTACATCGCGCTTGGACACACCTTTCCCCATTCCCTGGGACCCCTGTGACTCTGATCAGATAACCCCGGACCCTCCTTCCTGCCCTGACAGGGTTGGTGGAGAGCCAAGGAGCCCTCCCTGCCCAAAGCCTGGATAAACCCCTGACATTTCCTGTTTGTTCTCTTTTTGCCCCGCTCTTTCCCTTGGACATCACAGAATAAAGAGAGCTGAACAACTACATCGGGGTAAGAGCCTCTTTTGGCAATCTTTGCCATCTCCTGATATTCCTCCCCTCAAAGCCTCAGATCTCTGGGCTAGCTTGATAATTTAGGGGCTGAGAGGGGAGAACCATCAGGGATCAGTGTGACTGGGGGGATGGAGAGATGAGGACATGGGCACAGCCCTTTGCCACAGCAGCTTCCCAGAGCAAGGAGAAACCCTCAAGACAGCTCAACCCCACCCTGTTCAGGGCTGCAGCTCCTGACCCCTCACTCCATTGCAGGGCTGGTACCTGCAGGGTCCCCAGCACTGCAGGGTCCCCAGCTGGAGGGTCTCGGTCCCTGCTGGTGGCCCCCGACCCCCACACTCACCCACACACTGCAGCACGATGAGGAACTCGGACTCTGCCAGGCCAAAGGCATTGGCTGGGTCTTCCAGCACGTTCAGCAGGCTGCCACTGGAGCAATATTCCATCACCAGCACCTTCTGCTTGCTGCTGCCCTGCGGGGGGAGAGGCCAGGAGGGCTCAGCCAGCCCCATGTCCCAGCACTGGCCTGTCCCCCCAGCCAGGCAGGACCAGGTCCCCTCCCGTGGCTGGGGAGCCCCAGGGTGTCCCAGAGGGGTTCCCACTCACTGTCTCCTCCACGGCAAATAATTTGACAATGTTTTTGTGGTTCAGCTTCCGCAGCATCTCGAACTCTCTCATCTGCACCTCCTGGGGCCGCAGGTAGCTGGCATTGTTAAACACCTTCACTGCAACCAGCTCCCCCGATTTCTGGGAAAAGAACAAAAAGAGGCAATGAAAACACGATGCCGTGGATGTGCAAAGCAGCTCCAGGAGCTCCGTCCCGGCTCCCACGCCCCGCTCGGGATGTAAATGCTGCCTCTGCAGCAGGTCCGCTCCGCTGCACAAACAAACCGCTGCTATTCACCTCCCTGCTCTTCCTGTCCCTGCGCCCAAGTGCTGCGTGTCGCTGCGTTTGTTTATGCGGCCCCACGGAAAATTCCCGTGTGGAGCCGGGGCCGGCAGCTCCCCGAGCGATGCGGATGTTCACAGCCCAATCTCGCAGCCTTTTGCTCAATAAACTTCAAAGGCTGCTGAGGAGGAGAGCCCGCTCCAAGCCCGACAAGTGTTTGCATGAAGTATGCAAATGGCCAAGGATGGGGTTTTCAAAACCTCTGGGCATTCCCCGGAAAACAGCAGCTTCTTCCCCCTGGAGCCGCCTGTGAGCGCCCCAAAATCCGCCCTCGACCCGCCGGGCAGGGGAAGGAGCCCCGTGGAAAATGAAAATAAAACGCAAAGCAGCGCCTGAGCTGCTCCACAAGCAAGGATCTCCGGCAGGGCGAGCGGAGCGGAGCTCGGGCATCCCCCGGCGCGGCAGGGACGGGGCCAGCGGGGCTCGGGAGGTTTGGGGTCCCGCTCACCTTGTTGCGGGCTTTGTAGACCGAGGCCGTGGCCCCCTGGCCCAGGAGGTCCTCGGTGCTCCACAGGTAGTTGGGGGTGCTCTGCATGTCCGGCGGGAAGCGGGGGGCTCACCGCGGGGAGTCTGACCCCCCGAGCCCGAGCCTTTCCCCCGCGGGAGCCGCCGCTGCCCCGGGCAGCCCCGGGGCCGAGGCTGGGCTCGGAGCGAGCCCCGGCGCTGCCGGCAGCCGCCGGCCGGGACGTGCCGGGGCCGGGAGCGGAGCGGGGCGAGCGGCGCCTCCCCGGCCGGGAACCGAAACCCGCGGATTGCAAAACCCGCCCGGCGAGCACGGCCCCGCTGCAGGAGGAAACGCCTCAGCTTCCTGCTCGAGAAAAGACTTCCCAGCCGGGCTGAGTCCCCGGCACACCGGAATGGATCTCCGGCACACCGGGCTGTATCCCCCGGCACACCGGGCTGAATCCCCCGGCACACCGGGCTGAATCCCCGGCACACCAGGCTGTATCCCCCAACACACCGGAATGGGTCCCCGGCACACCGGGCTGTATCCCCGGCACACCGGAATGGATCCCCAACACACCGGGCTGTATCCCCCGCACACCGGAATGTATCCTCGGCACACCGTAATGTATCCCCCGCACACCGGAATGTATCCTCGGCACACCGTAATGTATCCCCCGCACACCGGAATGTATCCTCGGCACACCGGAATGTATCCCCAACACACCGGGCTGTATCCCCCGACTCACTGTGGGGGATGTGGGATGCAGGATCCAGGTGACACACAGGGTGCAGAGCTGGATGTGGGGTGAAAAGTGGGATGCAGGATGCAGAGGAGGGTGCAGGGTGAAGTGCAGGACAGGATTGGATGTGGGATGCAGGATACAGGGTGCAGAGCAGGATGTGGGATGCAGGACAGGGTGGGATGCAGGATGCAGGGTGGAATATGTAATGTGGGACAGGGTGGGATGCAGGATGTGGGGTTCAGGGTGGGATGCAGGGCAGGATGTGGGGTTCAGGGTGGGATGCAGGGCAGGATGTGGGGTTCAGGGTGGGATGCAGGGCAGGATGTGGGGTTCAGGCCACTCTGCTGCCTGCACAGGGCAAAGGGGGCTCTCCTGTCCCTGCTCACTCTGGCTTCACCGTGACCAGCTCAGCATCAGGGTCCCACTGTCAGGAATCATTCCAGGCTGGCGTGGGTGTATCTAAGGGCTCCAAAGGTCTGAGAGTTCATCAGCCTGTGGGGCATCCAAACACTGGCACCACTTCACCAGCATGCACACAAACCCCACCCCTAATTAGTTCCTTAATTCCTGCTGAGTTTCATTTTCCCAGCCGCGGGTGAGGGTGCCTGGCACAGCCCCCGGAGCTGGCCGGGGCACTGCCCCTTTCCTGGGCTTATCCAGGGATGCCCGGGGCTGGGAGGGGGTGCCAGTCTCGGCAGCTGCAGGGGTGTGCTGACGTCGGTTTAACCACACGAAACCTGAAATCCCTTTGATTGGAGTCATTTTTGCTGCAGCTCGGCTGACAGGAAGAGAAAGGGCCGGGGTGACTTCTTGAAATTGTGTCTGGTTTTATTTTCTGTTCGTGTGAAACAGAACCATCAGTCGGTCCCCACGGTGCTGGCCAGGCTGGGAGTGCAGGGAACTCACCCCCAACACCTGCCTGCCTTCTTCCAGCCCCCTTATGCATTCTTCTGCTGTCCTTTTAAAATTCCCAGCTCATTTCCTCTCCCTGGTCGCTCCATCAGCAGGTTTTTCCTCCCAGCTGACTCCCCAGTCCCATCTGAACCCCAGGACTGGATGTGCCCACAGGGGATAACCCCTGCTGTGGTGGGACAGCGCATCTGGCAGGGGCTGGGAGAGAAAAAATCCCGGCCTCGAAAGCAATTTGTGATGAGAATTCATTGTTCCAGCTGGTGGCAGCAAAGCCTGGAGAATGAAGAAGCAGCAGCGAGCTCTGTGTGCAGCAGGGACCTCGTCCTTGGGTCTGAGAATCGAGCCCAGGGGTGTCCCCAGGGTGTCACTGTGCCAAGCCTGAACCCTCCCAGCACTTCCCCACCGCGTTTCTTTGTTAAAAACCACCAGAATGGGGTTTGTGGGGCAGGCTTGGACCCACCTGTGGTTTGATGAGGGTTTAAGAGATAATCACAGCCTCTTCTGCTGGACAGTGACCAAGGGAAAATCAAAAATCCCTTGTTATCTGCGCCACCCCGTTGCTCCCCGACTCCCAGTGACACCCCATTGCAGGGACATTGCTCTCTGACTCCTATTTCATGTTTTAAAAACAAAAAGGCACCAGCAGCATGCCCAGCTGGCTCTAGGGTGGTGCCACAGAGGCTGCTGTGATTTTGGAATAAAAACACCCCGGATTTCCAGCTGATCCCTAAAAGAGGAGATGTGGACAGGGAGCACAGGGATGCTCACCCCAGGGACAGGGGGGACAAAATGCCTCAGTTAATCATCAAACCTCACTGAAATAAGTAATTCCTTTGAATCTGAAGAAAAGGAAGCCAAAATGACACAGCCCTGCCACGTTCCCCCTCCACACTCTGAAAAAGGCCCGTGGAAAAACCGAGATGGGGGAAAGCTGGTAATGATAAAATAACGATCCAATCCATAATCTCAATCTTAAATCCTCTTTCCTGAGACAGTTGGGGGTCCATCCTCCACAGGAAAATGATGAAGATTAAGCATTTTTAAATCAGGTCACTGCCAGGGAAGCGTTTGCCCTGGGGAATCCTGCTGTGGTGGCTGCGTGCGAGCCCAGGGTGGGGGAATCAGCAATCAGGGGGTCACAGAAAGAATGGTTTGGTTGGAAGAAACCTTTAAAGTCTTATCATTCCACAGCAGGGACACTTTTCACTATCTCAGGCTGCTCCAGCCTGGCCTGGGACACTCCCAGGGATCCAGGGGCAGCCACAGCTGCTCTGGGCACCCTCTGCCAGCACCTGCCCACCCTCCCAGGGAACAATTCTTTCCCAAAATCCCATCTAAACCTGCTCTCCCTCAGCTTCAGGCCATTCCCTTGTCCTGTCACCACATCCTTGGTGTCCCCCGTCTCTGTGCCACCACGCTGCTCCCTGGAGTGTCCCCGTGTCCAGGGTGGCACCAGGTGCTCCAGGCTCCTGCAGATCCTTCCTCTCCCTCACCAGAACCTCCAGCAGCATTCCTGAGCGCTCCAGCAGCCCCCCAGGCCATGCTCTCCCTCTCTCCCACTCAACCCCAGGACATCACACACCAGCACCCTCAGGTCAGTGTTTCCACCATACCCAAAACATTTATTTCTCCAAAACTATTGCTAATGACAATGGATACATTTTGTTGCCCCAGTATGGATTTAACACTTCCAACACATCGACTCCTAATACTGTACAAGACTGTACCAAAAAGGGGAGGGGGAAGGAAAAAAAAAAAAAACCAAAACAAAAAAAGGCTGTACCTCCATATTGTACAGAGTTCTATGTACAAAGTACAATTTTACACAGTTTAATATATACACCATATATATATTGGTGTAGAAGACATGAAACAGTGGAAACTTGTTTTAGCAAGAACATTCCATCCCACCACGAAACAACTGCTGCTGACGACCCCAGGTTCAGAGAGAAAAAACACAATTCCTACACTTTGCAACCCGGCTCTCCTGCCTTGCAGCAGGAATCAGAGATGGATTTCAGCAGTCGCCCTCTCCGAGCTACATCGAGCTGGGCTTTCAGAGAAGCTGCTGCTCACAAGTATTGCTCCAGCAGTTTGGCACACTCACAGTCCAACCCCTGGGCTTGGGCTGTTCCTCACACCTCAGGGCTGGTGAAGTCCACTTCAGAAGAAGGTTACTCAGTGCCTCAGAAAGGACAGGCCCACCTACGATTCCCACTGCAAACTGCTGGATGTTCACCCCGAGTGAAGCTTGGCAGATCAAGTATTGGCACGGCAGGAAGCTGCCTTCCCTCTCCACCTTCCCCTCTTTTTGGCCCATGGCTGAAAAAACACTTTCATCCCAAACTACGTTTAGAGGAAGCACAAAATTTAACAAAAAAAAAAAAAAAAAACCAACCCCAAATCAACGAAACCCTTGCATTTTCCAGGCCTTGAAGTGCTGTTTTGGCATCTCTAGAGCCACCCAAATAGATGGTTTGCTGCTAGAACAGCCTGGAGAAGAATTCATCTGCCTTCTGGTGGGCGGGCGGCGGAACCGCTTGTGCGCGACACAGCCGGGGCCATCCCGGCCCCGCAGGCACCAGGCAGAGGGTCAAGTATTTCTGGTTTTATTTCTTATTTTCAAGTACCAGGTTGTCACACAGACACAGAGACATGCAGAGAGCCGATGTGGAAGGAGCTCAAACCCCAGAGTTCAGTCCATGAAGTGCTTGGTGTTTCCCCAGAGCGTCCCTGGGGGAAGGACGTTCCCTCCTTTCCACCTCTGGTGCTACCAGCCCACTAAGGGAACACCTTTGTGTCCCCAGCTGCATTTGTGGGGCGTTAGCCAAGGCCAGGTAAGCCCAAAAAAGGGCTGGGTTTTTTAATGTGAAAGCTAAGAATATCAAAATAAATAAATCCCCAGCTTGTTAAACTCCATTTCCTGCTCTGGACAGGCCCATAAGCGATGGAAATGCCCCAGTGCTCCTGTTCTCCCCTGGTTTTGAAGCAGGTTTTGAAGCAGTTCCACACCCAGGGGAGTTCAGTGTGTTTGCACTTTGGGGCACATCCCTCAGCACCCAGGGCTTGGTCCTGCCAAGCACAGGTGCCCCTCACCTGGCCACCAGAGCAGTGCCACACCTGGGGGGACAGGGGCACCTCCTTCCCCTCCCTACTGTGCTCAGCCTCTCATGGAATCGATCCAGCTGTCTCAGCAGGGATTTTTGGGGCGTTTTTCCATCGTTCCTGATTCCTCACTGAGAGCATCACCTCCTGGAAGTGTCCCCTCCACACACAAGGGAACGTTCCCACACCCCGGCAAGGATCCGAAGTGCCGAGAACCAGAGACGTCGGTTTTTGCAGAAGAACATCTCCCAAAAGCTCCATAAATCCACAAACCTACGCCTTGCTCCACTGAATTTGAGGTTTTTGACACAGAGAAGAAGAGAAATAAGGCAGCAAGCTCCACCTGCAATGAACTTCTCCTGTCCCAGTATTGCTGGAGCTCTTCCAAGCGCGCCAGGCCGGCCCCGTACCAAGTGCAAGGTGGGGAGCTACAACAGATGGGATTTCTTGCCAAGCTGAAGTGTTTTGATTCAGTAAATAAATTTATGAGAACTTGGTTATCTTAACCTACTTTTGTGCAAGAACAATCTTGCCTTAAAAAAGAAGAAGAAAAAAAAAAAAAAGAAAAAGAAAAAAATCAACAATACTCCCAAAACCCAACACATGAGGTATTCAGCACAGGAAACCCAAAGACTCCTTTTGAACAGGTATCAAAATACAGACATATACAACAACATTTTTTTTTTTTCTTCTGCTGTCACAGTGCACTCTAATTATTTACTCATTTTTGTTGCAATAAAATACCCAGTACAGATAAAATGAGAGGGTTTGATCGTGTCCCACTGCTTGGACATGAAGGACAAATTTATAGTCCATAAACTTTGGACGACCTCAGAGAGGCAGAAATTAAGCAATGGTTTAAGCACACTGCTCCATTCCCAACTAGGGAAATAACCCAGAAAAGGTCTAAGCTTCAGAAACCATTCAGATTGATCACCTAAAACCATGTTTTAAAGTTTGTTTTTGTTTGTTTTTTTTGTTTTTTTTTTTTTTTTTTGCTTTGGATTATTTCAATCCAACACCTGATGAACAAGGTTCATACAAAGCACTACTGAACAGACAGACGTCATTCCAGTTATCAAACACTTCTTTTGTCTTTATATTCGACACAAACCTTACAGGAAAAGTCATGAGAAGAGGATTTCCTTGGAAGAGCTAAAATTTCTTCAGGATATGAAGGTGTGGAGTGGCATTGGTACCTCCCCAAGCAAACCACCGTGTCAGACCTGTCCACGGGGAGGGAACATTTCCAGTTCCTCCTTCCCACCTTTCCGGCAGCGACTGCTCCTAAAACACTCGTGGCAAACGCCCTCCCAGCCTCGTGTGTTCACAGAGTGAGGAGGACAAGCTGAAAATCTCCTTTTTCCCCCAGGATTTCGTGTGTGATTTTCTTGTTTCATCCCCCCCGAGGAAGAGGAAGGACGAGCTTCAGCCTGTCCTATTGCTTGTGTCAATCACAGTGCACACCAGAATTCCAGTTGAGATGCTCCGTATCCAGGTGATCCTGCCAAGCACCTTGCCCTTGGCAGCAGGATTGTCCCAGAGCTGTGGATGCCAGAGAAGCACAGTAATAATTCAGATACAGACAGTTGCTGTTACAGTAACCTGAAGTCTTTTTTAAAATTTATTTTTTTGTTTTTTATTTTCCATCTAATTCCACACTTCAGACCTTGAAGCTGGAAAAGAGCAGCTCCTCCAATGTGCTGTGCGTGGCTGAACACTTATTCTTAGGAATACTGAATGCTAGGCATAAAAATAGAAAAAGAAAATAAGGCATTAAAATGAGGCAAAGTCAATTTACAGAGATCCTGCTCTTGACACAGATTAACTTGGTCATTCTTGACCAAAAAAAAAAAAAAAAACAGAAGAGAAATAAAAAAACCCAAAAATTCTTACTAAAAAGGAAATGCCAGAAAGTTCTGCCTGAGCAAAAGAATTACAAGTTTAACCATTCTATTTATTTTCTTTTTCCCCAAAAGAACAAGTGATTCCTTGGTGGTAGAAGTCCATCAGAACCTGAGAGCGAAGGTCGCTGGTGGCACCGGTGGCATCTCCTGGAGGGGCAGGGACAGTCAGGCTCGTACCGTGGGGCTTCCCCAGGGAAGCTCAGGAGAAAAGGGAAACGAGGAATGTTCTCACCAAAACCTTCCCAGTTCCTGCACGTCCTCAGTTCAGGGCCCAGAGGAAGCTGGCTTTTTGGGAAGTCATTAATTATGGATTGATTGCTTCTGTAGAAAGGAGGTTGTGCGTGTGGGGATGGACAGGGGTGCAGGAAGACCCTGTTCCATTTTTCCAAGTATCACCCTAAATGCACGAGAAAAGGACATTTCAGCAACTCTTCTTCGTTTCTTCTTTTTTAAGTGCCAATTAAACTGACTTTGCAGTCACCAGGAACTCACACACTGAAAGGAAACTCGGCTTAAATGGGTGAGAAAAATGACTTTTCTTATCCTGTCCTGAATTCATTATTTAATGGAAGCCTAAGACGTGCAGCTTGTTTGAAATCCTCGAAAAGCTGAGGAATGAGGCGAGCTCAGGGTCAGCCAGTCTCCACTCCTAAGTGGCACAGATTATTACATTAAATAAACGTGGGCACTGCAGAGGATTCCCAGGGGAGTACAAAAGAGTCCGTGGGTGCTGCTGGCTATGGATAAATACAAATAATACCAAAGGATTCATTCACAGGTCAGCCCTGCACGGTGCTGTCACATCCCTGTCCCCAGCAGCGTCCCCTGCACTGCTCTATAAGAGCAGCCAGGGATGAGGCAGGGAGCTGGGAACTCCTGAGCGAAGTTTTTACAGTGCTTGGCGCTGGGATGGGGTCAGGATCTGTCCTGAGAACGGGCAAACCAGCAGAGTGTGTCCTGGGGATGGGCTCCCAGCAGAGGATGCTTGCTTTCAAAATTATATATATTTTTTTTTTTTTTTTTTTTTACATTCAGTCTCCCGAGAGCCAACACCACATCAGAGCCCATGGGCTGAAAATGCCACTGGAAACAATAAAGCTGCTTTTAAATATGGGAGAGCAAAGGGGGGAACCAGTGAAGATTGTCCATAAGCAACAGCTGGGCTCTTTGTTGTGCTCCCAGAGCTCAGGAACATGTTTGTTTGTATTTGCACAGACACGCCTTACATAGAACTCCACAAAATCTACCAGTGTTCCAGAGTAAACTGATTTTTCCATGACAAATAAAGCATGAAGCTGGATGGCCAAAGGCTTTTGGCCCTGAGGAGGAGGAATGGGGAGCAAACAAACAAAACCAGAGGATGTGATGGAAGTTGAGACAGACCCTTAACCACCGTGGCACCAGCAGGCGACGGAATAATAATAATAATTATAATTATAATAATAATAATGCACAAGAAACAGGCATGTCCAAGCTCCACATAACCAGTGGCACCAAAACATGCAATAGACTAAAATCTATCCTATTGTTTCCCTGTGATAAATGAAACACAGAATACAGAAGTCACTACACCGGTATCCCAAAACTGGACACCACCAAACGTTCCTTCCAGCGGCCCAGCACTTGAACAAGGCATGGAAACCCAAATCCAACTCATCCCTTGGTGTTTTCCTGCTCAGCTTCACAGTGGAGCGTGGATTGTGGATTTCCCAAGCGTGGCAGGAGCTGTCCTGGGGGACGTGGGACGAGGCCGTGGCCGCTCGGGAGCTCCCGGCAGCTCCCCTTCAGTCCAAGGACTCGTTCAATAGGAATTGGAAAGTGTCGGCCAGAGCGTGTCCATGTGGAACAGCAGCAGTGGCACCCGGGGCGGGTCAGACAGTACAGGACTTGTCGGGGGGCTGCTGAGGGGCGGAGGAGGCCACGCCGGGGCTGCTGGCGCTGGTTTTGGGGAACAGGGCGGGCTTGGGCCGCGTGGCCGGCGGCTTCACCTGCGTGGCCACCTTGACAGACTTGACGGGCCGGAAGGCGCAGGGGATGTCCCCAGCGGTGCTGGCACTGCGCTGGAACGGCGGCTCCGAGTCCTTGAGGAGCTGGGTGTGCAGGGGGCTGGAGGGCTCCGAGGTGGGGGCCACCACCGGCGACGTCTTCAGGGGCTCCAGCGTGTCCAGGACGACGTCGGGCGCGTGCTTGGCGCTGCTCTGCCGCTCCAGCTCCCGCAGCTCGTTCAGGGCCGAGTTCATGGTGGCTTCGATGTCCTGCAAGCACAGCAGAGGGGCACAGTGAAGCACAGCCCAACACACAAACAATCAGAGAAAAGCCACTTTATGGTGGCTTCAATGTCCTGCAAGCACAGCAGAGGGACACAGCCCAACACAGAAATAACCACAGAAAAGCCAGCTCATGGTGGCTTCAATGTCCTGCAAGCACAGCAGAGGGACACAGCCCAACACACAAACAACCAGAGAAAAGGCAGTTCATGGTGGCTTCAATGTCCTGCTATTACAGCAGAGGGGCACAGTCCAACACACAACCAGAGAAAATCCACTTCATGGTGGCTTCAATGTCCTGCAAGCACAGCAGAGGGGCACAGTCCAACACACAAATAACCAGAGAAAAGCCACTTCATGGTGGCTTCAATGTCCTGCAAGCACAGCAGAGGGGCACAGTCCAACACACAAATAACCAGAGAAAAGCCACTTCATGGTGGCTTCAATGTCCTGCAAACACGGCAAAAGAGCCCAGTGAAGGGACAGCCCAGACACACAAATAACCTTATAGATAAAAGCCACTTCATGGTGGCTTCAATGTCCTGCAAGCACAGCAGAGGAGCACAGCCCAACACAGAAATAACCAGAGAAAAGGCAGTTCATGGTGGCTTCGATGTCCTGCAAGCACAGCAGAGCATGCCAGTGAAGGCACAGCCCAACACACAAATAACCAGATAAAAGCCAGGTTTTGAGCATATTTTTTGTTTTCTCAACACCACCCACGGGTCAAGGACTGAACCGTGCAGCACCAGATCCTGCAGCCAATATCCCTAAAATTTTCCAGCAACAGGGAGCAAAATAACTGCTAGCACTAGCTTGATGCTAATCTGGCCCTTCACTGCTCCTGATGCTGCCCAGACTTCAAAGCAAAGCCCCAGATGTCACCAATGAACAGAAACCAAAGCACTTTTGCCCTTTCTTGAGGATTATTTGGCACATGAGATTTGGGAGAGTAAATTCCTGAAGGGAGCACTGAGAGCTTTGGTACTGGCTGATGGGCCACCCACTGAACGCTGAAATCCTCCTGGGCTCCTGCTGCCTCACTGGTTTTCCTGCTGAGCTGCTCCCAGAGATGTGTTCCACAGGACTCAGGATTTTAGAGGACACAGAAGATGTCTGAAACACGTGTAGCAACCAAAACTGGCCCTTCTCCTCCCTCTAAAAAACTCTTTCAGTTATTAACAAATAAATATAAAGAGAACTTTTGAACTAAAACCAGGGTTTTTTTTGTCTCAGGAGCTATCCATTGCCTGTTGGAGAGTCCAGTGGTGCACAGAAGTCCCTGGGGAGCAGGAGAGCTCAGCCTGGCTCTGACTCACACTTTTGGCTGCAGCTTTCCAGCTTCCTCAGAGCTTTTTCAGGGGGTGGGGAAGGTAAATCAGTCAAGGAATGGTGGAAGAAAGCAGAGGCAGAAATCTGATGCCTCCCACTCTATCTTGAGGCCAGGCAGATTTTCCTTATGAAGCTGGGAAAATGTGCAAGGTAGTTATTGGGTGGTGTTTGAGCTGATACTACAGAGAAAAACACTGATTTAACACAGCCTGGGGTTTTCTCCCTCCTCTTTTTTATTTATTTTCCCCTCCTCTTTCCTTTCTGTCCCCAGACTCTTCTCCAGTGAAACAATGGAATGAAGGTTCTGGCAGGGAAAGGAGACAGAACAACTTCAGTCAGAGTCTAATTGAAAAAACAAAGAATCTGATTTATATCAACCAAAGCCTCAGAAGGATGGGGAAACACGAAGACAACAGGAGCTGTACACTACATTTCCACTTTAACAAGTGGGCTCAAGGCACTCAAAATGGCAAAACACAAATTCCCACCAGCATTAAACCCACTGAGTTTTAATGTGCTCCTTATTTATTATGCGGAGCTGCTGTTTTGTCAATAAAAATTCCCTTTATTTCTCACATCTAAAGCTCCTCAGGAACCTGCAGAGCCCCGAGCCAGGCAGAGCAGTCAGGTCTCCAGGGCTGGCTTTGTAACCTGAGCCTGGAGCATTCCTTGGCTCCAGGCAGAGCCATCCCTCCCACCCTGCAAGCAGTGGGTACAGAGAGCTGCAAGTGCAGGCACATCCCCTCTCTGGAAGAGGGAAATGTGTAACTTCACATCCTTTGTAGCCAGCCCTGTGTAAATAACTCCTGAGAACAGCAGGGTTATGCTCGGGTCTGGCTGCTGATCACACTCTGAGCCCTGCAAGATGATGAGGATGCCACTGGAGCCCTGACAAGGCAGCAGCCTCCTTTTATTTGGGCTGTGCTGCTCCACGTGCTTCCCGTGTCACACCACTGACAGGAGAGTGTTAAAGCCACAATAAATACTTCATTTCTCTCATGTCTTGAAGTGATGATTGTTTCATTCCCTGCTGGCAGCTTTGGGATCTGTGTCACTTTCTGAAATGGGTGTTTTTAGTGTTGAGATTAAATTCTGGGTAATGAACAGGGCCAAGTTTTTATGGAGGAAGGACCTGAGTGTTTCTCTTCCCTCAGGAAAGCAGCTTTGCACACAGGGAGGATGAAAGCCCAGATGGGGGCTGTGTCCTAAGCCAATATTGCACTGAGAGAATCACAGAATTTTTGGGGCTGGAAGGGACCTCTGGAGTCCAACCCACTGTCCAGGCAGGGTCACCTGGAGGTGGCACAGGAACTCTTCCAGGTGGGTCTGGGGTGTCTGCAGGGAGGGAGACTCCACTTCCTCCCCGGGCAGTTCAGGGCTCTGCCACCCTCACGGACAGAAACTCTTCCTCATGTTGAGGGTGAACTTTTTGTTTTAATCTATGACTCCTTGTGCTGTTGCTGAACAGAGCCTGGCACCATCCTGACACTCCCTGGGGAGATTCATATGGATTAGAGATCCCCTCTCAGTCTTCTCCTCTCCAGAATGAGCAGGCTCTGCTCCAGAGTCTCTCCTCACCCAGAGCTGCCCTGCAGGGCTGCCCTTCCCTCCTGGGGCATGGACAGGAGATGAAATCCCACCTTGCACTCTAACACCTCCTCCATCCTGTTGTAAATGCAGGTGGACCCAGTGGGCAAAATGCTGATGTCTGACTCCAGTTCAGCAGGCTGAATGATTTCTTTATAATAACTGTATTATAATACATTAATATACTAGTTAAATGAGATACTAAAACTACAAACCTACTTGTTCTAACTTCCATATTTAACTCACTGACAACTCCTGGCCCTCTCTGGAGAGTGCAGCCCCAGGTGGGTTGGATTGGATTGGATTGGATTGGATTGGGTTGGATTGGATTGGATTGGATTGGGTTGGGTTGGATGGGATTGGATTGGGTTGAGTTGGGTTGGATTGGGTTGGATTGGGTTGGATTGGACTGGATTGGATTGGGTTGGATTGGGTTGGATTGGGTTGGATTGGATTGGATGGATTGGATTGGATGGATTGGATTGGATTGGGTTGGATTGGATTGGATTGGATTGGATTGGCCACCAGGCTCAAACAATCCTCACCAGAATCCAACCAAGAAACCACCCCAGATAAACAATTCTCCACACACATTCCACATGGGAAAAACAAGGAGCAGAAACAGAAACTGCTCTCTCTTTCCTCCTGCTCTATGAAATAACCCTGGGAGAGGGAAGGATGTGCTGGGAACAGCATCCCAGCTGCCCCAGGCCAAGCCCTGCAGCAGGAGCTGCTCTCACCTCACCTGTGCGATGACCTCGGGGTCCATGGGCCGGTGGTTGTTGAAGCTCTTGGACCTGCCAGCAGTGACGGCCTTGCGGAGCTGCGGGCTGTCCACGCGGCTCTTGAGCGACAAGTGCCGGCTGATGGAATTGAGGCTGCCGTGGCCACTGATGGAGCATTTGTCTGGAACCTCCTTGGGAAGACTTTGGCTCATAATGGGCTGAGATGAGGGCCTGGAAGCGCCTATGGCCCCGGGGGAGGCTGGTTCTGCCAGGGAACTACCTAGGCCGTGGCCGTCACTTTGGCGGAACGCTCTTCTGATGCTGCCTGACTCTGGTTTCTTTCTTTGCCTTCAGTCACAAAAGCAAAACAAGTCAATACAAGCAGGTACAGGGCTGTCATTTGAAGATATCCCCCCAAAACAACACACAGGACAACGGGGAGAGACACAGAGGTACCCAGATTACAAACAGACCCAGGGGTTGAGGAGTGATTGCGGTACAGTGAAATAATTATAAATTATAAATAATTCCAGTTTCACGCTTCTAACAACAAGGCTGAGTCCTGGCAGCTGTGCACATTCAGAGCAAAACCAGAAAACTTGGGTGGAACGTGATTAACTTGGTCAAGAGGAGAAGAATTTATACTGGAACAAAAAAAAAAAAAAAAACCCTCTGTGCCATCAACAGGTTTTGATGATGTGTTTTTATTACATTCCAAGAGCAGAGCTACAATCTTTGACTGGAGGACACAGTATAAGTCTACTAAGCTCCTGGCCCAAGGCATCAAGTTATTATTTTCAGAGATCAGCAAGCAAAGACCCCCAGTTTGGGGTTAATGATCATTTCCAATGTTTGCTGGTGGTAGGAGATGGTTCTTTCTCATGGCTTTGGCAGGACCACAAGGCATGGGCTACACATAAACCAAAGGGATGATGTCAAATGGATGAACTGGTCCAAAGAATTTAGTTTCTACCCCAGCACCATGAGGTCTGACAGCACGATTCCACTCAAATCATGGGAAGGCCAATGCAGCAGAATACTTTATGCCATAGGTCTGAAGCTTGGCATCCATTATACAGGGAAGGATCCGTTTATATATAGCACCAGCCCCATGAGTAACTGCAAGAAAGTGTTAACTCCAGTAGGATTTTGGCATCCAAATAATAATTCAGTGGGTGGCACAACTGTCATTGCGAAACCATCTGATTTAATTTTGCTCAAGTCTGTTCACACATAGGTCAGAAGATTCATTCCTAAAGAAAAAACAACAAAATGAGTCTTATGCTACTTATTGCTAAATATCAGGTTCCCTAGTAAAGGGAAAAAAAAAAACAAAAAACCAAACCCAAAAACTAGGGTGGACATTCCCCAGGCTTCTAAAAACCACTCCACACAACTCCACCAAAGCCAGCAGATGGTGAAGCTCCAGCACAGGTCTGTTATTACACAAATCTCTCCATAACTGGCAGAATGGCCACTCCACTGGCTCAGACAGCAAATATCATACAAGAAAGCCCAGATCCCAAGCTGATGCAGATTATCACGGCTTCCCAGATATCACTGGAGCTCTGCTGAATCCCATAAGGAAGGCCCAGGCTCTCTAGGCCATGAGCAGGGTCCAAATCTTTTAAAAGGATGCATTTGTGCTAATGCCTTTATAGACTACATTGTGTTAAATTAACTGAAGGCTAAGAACATCCCCTCCCATCAAACTGTAATTATCACATAAAACCTTCACTGCACAATGGAGAGAGGCGGGGGTTTTTAACATAAAGGAAATAATCAGCAATATACGGGGGATAAATCTGTCTAGAAAAAAATATTTAGCAGGTCATGGAATTTAGTCTGCCACTAGCTAGATTTTCCAGCTTTTTATTATGTTCAGTGTTGGCTAAAGCAACGATTTCTGGTGGAGGAGGCAAGGTTAGAGCAACAGGAGGTTGTGCTGTTCCACTGCAAGCATATGGTTAGTAACGCGAGGTGAGGAGTGCTGCAGGAGCAAAGGAGGGCTGCAGGCAGTGCCAGGTGGTGGGACTGCAGGTATGGCATTTATCACAAACTGGGACACGGCTTCCTGCAGGAACTGTCCCCCCACCCCATCCAACAGCACGTGGCAAACGGGGAGGAGACGTGACAGGTGACAGAACACGAGGAGGGATGGGGACAACGACACCAGATCTCAGCCCAGCACTCCCCTCCCTTCCTCTGTCTGCTCAAGGCATAAAACAGGGCATATCTGGGAAAACAGGACCAGATGGCACCTTGGACACAGGGAAGAGAAGCCAGTGGGGTTTCAAATGAGTGATGGCCAAGCTGGTGACACAGAGGGGACAGCAAAACGTGAGTGAGTTAAAAGAGGGGGAAGCAGAGAAAAAGGGTGGCAGTGCTTGTTAATGTATTTTTTCAGGGAAGGAAGCATTTCACTGGACTCATCACCAAGCTCTTGACAGGCAGGGAAAACAAGCAAGGCTGCTCTTACTTGTTGATGTTTGCAAGGTAAATATCTGCGACGTGGCCCCCGCTCGGGCAGCTGGCACCAGCTCTGGCTGTCACCTTCTCCTCCGGTGGCTCCGAGTTGATCTCTATTTCCGACTTCGGGCTGGACCTTTCTGACATCCCATCCTCACTAGGAAGGAGGAGGGGAGGGTGTCACAACCACAGCAGGAGCAGCAGTGCTGCGTTTTCAGTCCAGCAGTGTGCAAGTGTACAGCAGCACGGTGTGAGAATCACCAGTGTCCTTCAAATCACCGAATGGTTTGGCTGGAAGTGATCTGGATCATCTTCTCCCACCCCACTGCCATGGGCAGGGACATCTTCTGCCACCCCAGGCTGCTCCAAGCCCTGTCCAGCCTGGCCCTGGGCACTGCCAGGGATGCAGGGGCAGCCCCAGCTCTGTGCCAAGGCATCCCACCCTCCCAGGGAACAATCCCTTTCAGTACACCCAGCCTAACCCTGCATCCTAAAGCTGTTCCCCCTCCTCCTGAGCGCCCGTGAGCACCCTGGAGATCCCAGCTGTGCCAGACACCAGAACAATTCCTTCACCTCCCCTCCACCCCTGGGTGAAAATCTGAACTCTGCCGGGACGTGTGGCCACCAAGGCCCACCCCAGGGTGTTTTTGGGGGCGGCCTGGCTGCAGGGAGGGTGGCACCTACGTGTCCTGCACCACGATGTACTGGTGGGGGATGAGGCCGTCGATGCCGTTGTGCCGTCCCTCCCACCAGTCGTCCGAGGCGCGCTGGTAGAGCAGCAGAGAGGCTCCTTTCTTGAAGGACAGCTCCCGTGCAGTCCTGCCCAGGTAGTCAAACTTGGCTATGGCCTCGATGGGCTCACACTCTAGGAGACAGAAGGGAATAAACTGAGTTTCACAGAACACCTGGGCTCGGGTGAGCAGGCAGCAGTTTAAACCTGCCACAGAGCAGAGCACGGAGAGAAGCAAGTGTTCCTTCCTCAGGCAGCAGAGGGTTGGAAGCAGAAGATTCACAGGGGAACCCCAAAACTCAAGGATGCTGCCCTTTCATCCTTTGATACCTCAGATTTTGGCTTTTCTATTTTTCAGATTCTGTGCTGCTTCAGTGTGTGGATCTGAGGCCCATATTAGGGGATGGTGAGCTCCCTTCACAGAGCAGGGAGACAAAACAATTCCTGCTCTAGGTGGGGACCAAGGACAAATATTCCAAATCTCAGGCCCTCTCTATGATCCAGATTTCAAATGATCCAAATCTCAGGCCCAGCAGCACAAATAACGTGGGATGAAGAGAGAAAAACAAGGATGGGACTGGATGGGCTAAAGCTGGAATTGGACAATGAACTCCAAGGTGCAAATGGAGCAGAACTGATCCCAGTGACAGACCCTGTGACCTGTTGTGCATTTTGTGACCATTTTGGGTTGTGCTGCCCAAGATGGATCCACTGAGGCCTCTTAATAAATCCCTGCTTTACTCTTTAGCTCTGTCCAGTCTCTGCTCCAGCTCAGCTTCACAAAGCATCAACCTCATCCCTACACAGAGGGCACATTTGTATTTTTCAATCCCTAAACCCCCTCACAGCAATTCAAGGCAACAATGCTGGAAGTGGCAAGGGCAGAATTAGGGTTTTATTAAAATAAAAAAGGTTTCATTCAAATCAAAGGCTCACACTCCAGGAGATAGAAGGGAATAAACAGTTCACTAAATAGCTGGGCTCAGGTGAACAGTCAGCAGTTTGAATCTGCCACAAACCAGAGCATGAAGAGGATAAATTGTTCCTTCCCTCTCAAGGCAACAAAATTCAGAGGGGAGCCCCTAAACTTCAGGATGTTTCCCTTTCATCCTTTACCTCATCCCTACACAGAGGGCACATTTGGATTCTCCAAGCCCTAAACCCCCTCAGAGCAATCCAAACCAACAGTGATGGAAGTGGTAAGGGCAGAATTAGTGTTTCACTAAAATCAAAAGGGTTTCAGAGGTGGGAAGCAATCAGGCACATTCCACACAAAAATCTGCCTCTGGTTCTCCTCCTGAAAAGCAGCTGAAGTGAATCCCATGGGCAGGCAGGGGAGGGAAACATCCTCTCATTCCAGGCTGCTTCAGAAATAAAGCATCAATTCAGAAGGAAATTTCTGCTGCCTGTGAGGCTCACCTGAGCCAGGAGAGAGGAATTCTGGCACGGTGGGAGGCCCTGCTCTTCATCCAAGTGTCATGGAAGCAAAGGAAAACACGCAGTGCCTCCAGAGCCAGGGCTGAGGCCACAGAGCTGCTCCCTGGGATGCTCTGTGCCCACTCCTGCAAAGCTCCCACAGCAGCTCCAGCCATGCCCTGCCACTAATCCAGCTCCCTGCAGGATTCTGGTATGATACAGAGGCACAATAAGGGCATTTAAGACACTCAGGAAAATCAATGTGGGGCTCCCATGGATTATTTTTAAGGCTCTGAAAAAAATCTGCCACTGTTTGAGTGTAAATGTGTATTCAGGCAGCTCCTGGTGCTGGGCAGGGATCAGGGGAATGAGATGAGCTCAACCACACAGCCCCAGTGGGCTCCCTCTAATTACTTTAAAGGAGCTTTAATGCAGCCAAGCAATCCATGGAAATTGAGTTCTTTCCTGAAAAAAGAGATTTGTGGTTCCTCTCCCCTGATCAAAGAGAGATCTGCCACTCCACACAGAGATCTCTGCACCACAGGAAGCTTCTGCAGTGCAGGAGGAAACTAAAATGGGCTGCAAGGCCAAACATGAGGCACAGCTCCTCCAGTTGTTCCTTGGGAGAGGAGATGTTCCAGAACTGGGTCTGGAGCTGCCTCTAGGCTGCAAGGTGGTAGCAGGGCTTGAGCAAATAACAGTGTAAATCCATCCAAATCCCATTTATCAGTCCTGGAGCTCCCCAGCCAGACTGAGCAAGCAGAGCAGAAGCATCTCCCCCCAGAAAGCCCCAGCAGCACCTGAAACGACCCAGCACCAAGTGACTGAGAGCAGCCAGCACCAGATCTGTGAGATCCACCCCAAAAACCCCTCCACTGCCACGCCTGCCAGCTCAGGACTCTCTCAAAGCACCCACCCCAGGTGAGCCTGTGGTCAGACTCACACAGGTCCCATTTAGCAGTCCTCAGCAAGCAGCCAGGGATTGGGGAGGGTGGGAAAGCCTGGCCCATGCTGGCAGAGTCCCCAGAGCACGTGGTGATCTGGGTTTGGCTCCTTCCTCCCTCCTGCTCGCTCTGCCAGCTTGTCCTGACAGTAAGAAACCCCAACAATGCTGATTTTTGGTGTCCCCCTCCATTTAGAAAGGGAATGGGAGTGTGGTTTGGTAAATTCCATCTGCTTCATTAAGAAGTGTTTATTGTTCCAGATGAGCGTGGCACTCAGGTTTCTTATGTTTCCAATTTGCTTTTTAGGACTCTGGCTTTTCTCCAGAGGACTGATTTCAGACTTTAATTTCCAGTAGCTTTTTCCTACTTACACTTATGCTCAGAGAAGAAAACTGTGTGAATAAAGAGCAATAAGGCTAAGCCAAACAATTCCCCCTGCCAGTCTGACAGCTTGGGCAGACAAGCAGCAGATTAAACCATTTCCACTCGTATTTATAATATAACAAACACACAGTCTGCCTGTCTTTCAGCAGCTCTGACCTCTCATACCTGTCTCAAATCAGTTCAGGGAGGCTGATGAACTGCACAGATGCTCTGCCAAACAGAGCCTCTCCCCTCACCCCAAAATTCCTTCCTGCAGTGGAGGGGGCTGGGATGACAGCTTCACTTTGGGAAGGGCAATCCCAGCCTCCCCAGAGAGTTTTGGGAGGTTTGGTCCCATCTGAAGACAGAAGGAGGGGAAAAGCCCAGGAAGATCTGTGGTGGAGCTGTACCTGCACTGCTGAGAGGTGAGAGAAGGGTGTGACGCTGAACAGCTCAATTAGCACGAGACCCCTTAATTAACCACACGAGACCCCTTAATTAACCACACGCTGCTGCTGCTGCCTCAAAGAGACCCAGCCCCAGCTGCTCAGTGCCAAGTGCTGCCTCCCAAAAGCTTCCTATGGAATATTCCATGGAGGCTGCAGGACTCCATCCAAAACACCTCCCAGCCTCACCTTGCTCAGGGGCCCCAGCTCCAGAGGCTGCAGAGCAGTGTCCTTCTCTGATCTCTGCTCCTTTCTCACCTTTGTGCCCTCCCAGTCATTAAAAAAATCTGAAAATCCCAGCCACAAACGGCACAAGCTGGCAGCAGGCTGCAGGCTCGGGCTCGGGGGGGGTCCTGTCCTTCCTTACAGCCATTAAATTGCTTTTCCTCAGAGCCCCAAGGACACATCCTCACACATCTTCAGAGCTCCCACTTGTCAGACAGAGCACTCTGACCACAGGGAAGGATCCTGTGCTTCGTTCCCCTCAGGGGGTGCCAGTGCCAGTGCCTGGGTGGCAGTGCCTGGGTGGCAGTGCCTGGGTGCCAGTGCCCACTGCTGAGGCAGAATCGATTTCTCTTTCCCTTCTCACCGGTGTGTGAACACCAGAGGGTCACAGGATGGACAGAGCTGTAAGAGCAAAGCCACTGGGAGAGCCAGGGATGCCCGGGGAGGGTTTGGAGGCAGCTGCTGGAGCAGAGGCAGCACAGGAGCACCTGGCAGGGCCACTGAGCCAATTCACAGAATCCCAGAATAATGAGGTTGGAAGAGACCTCTAAGATCACCAAGTCCAACCTATGCCCTGACACCACAACCAGACCATAGCACCACGTGCCAAGTCCAGTCTTTTTTTAAACACATCCAGAGATGGTGATTCCACCACCTCCCTGGGAAGACAATTCCAGCATTTTATTATTCTTCCAGTGAAAAACTTTTTTCCTAATATCCAACCTAAACCTTCCCTGCCATAGCTGAGGCTGTGTCCTCCTGTTCCGTCAGTGCTGCCTGGTGGGAGAGACCGACCCCACCTGTCTGCAGCCTCCATTCAGGAATTCCTGAAGGCCAGCTCAAATAGGACACCTAATTTTAAGGGAATGCTGCTTCCCACCCCTGCAACTGAGGCCATGCAAGGAAAACCAGCCCAGAACTCCCAGAGCTGCCAAGGGTCTGAAGACAAGAACAAAACCATGTCCTGCCCTGGTGGCCAGCCTGCTCAGCATGCCAGGCAGCATCGGTTCACAGCAGTCACTTCATCCTTCCTCTGCTCTGGAGGGGCCCACAGGATGTTCCCATCCCAGGAGGAGCCTCTGGAAGTATCCAGGATGCCCACAACTGCAGATTCCAACTCAGGGTGACAATGCAGAGGTGAAGATCATTTAAAAATCACAGATTCCAACACAAAAGTTGCCACTGCTGCTTCGAGCGAGCACTGACTCAAACCCCACTTTGGATCTTTAAACAAGCACAGCCTCCCCTGCCTCCCCCAGGGCAGAAACTGCACCAGTTTCCCCAGTAAACCCAGACTGGCCATACCATCATCACTGGTGTGGTGTTCAGCTGTGACATCCTGCACTGAATCCTCTGTCAGGGCTCGCTCCCCGTGAGGGCTTTCACTGCAAAAAGGAAACAGGGACAGCTGTAACTGCTGGGAGCTGAGATCCCTCATGGCCAACACGCAGACAGAGCTGGGAACATCCTGGAAAGTAATCACATAGAACTGGGAACATCCTGCAGAGCAACCAGACACAACTGGGAATCCCCACCAGGAGTCAATATTTAGGTTTTGCTGCTACAGACACTTTGTGGATGCATGTGCTGAAGTGGCTGTGGGTAAAAATCAAGCTGGATTCTTTGTTGATCAGCCAAACCAAACATCTTGATGACCCATTCTGAGTGCTGTCAGCAAAGTCCAACTCTACATCTTACAGCCTGGACCTCTGGAGACGTTGAGCACTCACACAGCAGTGCCAGGCTGGGTCCAGCCCCTCCCTGCCATGCCAGGATTATTCCCCTGGCTGCATTCTCCATTGCTCTAATTAGCTCATTAGATGGCTGATGAGAAAGCTGCAACTTCCTGGGGGAAATCACTCCTCGATTTATAACGATATTTCCAGGTCTGTGTTTGTCATCTCCCTCCATCCCTTTTATCACCACCTTAAATGTCCCATTCATCTCCCTCAACAACTCCCACAGCCCAATTAGTTGCCTGTAAATAAAGATTGCAGAGCACCTAAACTACCAAGAGGACTCATTTATGTTTGACATGAAGAAAAGCTTTGAAAGGATCAACAGACAACAAGTGGCAAGCAAAGGTTGTGTTTTTGTAAGAAGCTCCACGAACAGTTCCCTCTGGACAGGAGCAGAAAGGAAACTGGAAGAGGATCCACTGCCTCTCCCAGGCAGCTCCAGAGAGCTGCTGCCAGCTGGCAGCCCTGCCTGCTCCTCTCAGGAGAAAAAAAAAGGGCTAAAAACCAGTGCTGGCTCTTCATCTTACACCAGAAAACTCCTCTGCTGCCTTCTCTGACTCCTTAAAGGTGATTTTTTTAATCTTCTTCACACAGGAATGACTTCATCCCTCATTTTGGCCCCGCAATGGTTAAAATAAGTGATGATGGTTGGACAGTGCTCTCCCCCCGGCAATCTACCTCCTGTGCTCTTTGGAATACGAGGAAAACAGAAAAAGGAGAAGAGGTGAAATGTCTGAATAATTCTGGCGCCTCGCTCTGCTTAATCCGCAGGACACCAGGCTGCCCAACATCTCCTGAGCCAGCACCTCAGCAACCAGCCCTTCCCATCCTTTGCAAAGCCTTTCTGCTCTTTAATAAAGTTTACAGAAGCCTCTGAAGCCAGCTGGAGGCCCCAGGAGGAAGCAGCACTGAGGGCTAAAGTTTCACCCAGACTGTGAAGTCATGTCGAGCACAGCTGCGCCTCCGAACCCTGCACAGGAGCCACGTGCCTCTGCCCAGCCATGCCTCCTAAAAAGCAGCATTTTCCACCTCAAATCCTGTCCTTGCTGCTGGCTGAGCCCTGGGTGCTGCTTTGGGCAGCAGTGGTGTCACCCTGCGAGCCCCGAAGGTGACAGCAGGAAATCCTGCCAAAGGAATCCCCAGCAGGGAATGGAGGGGCAGCTCCTGTCTCTGCTGCTGTGACAGTGGCAGGACTGAGGGAAGGGCTGGAGCCGTGCCACGGGAGCTTTGGGGGGAGATCAGGGAAAGGTTTTTTCTCTCCAGGCTCCCCAGGGAATGGGCACAACCCCCAGGCTGGCACAGCTGCAGGGCAACGCTCCCAGGGGTGCTCAGGGTGGGATTTTGGGGTGTCTGTGCAGGGCCAGGGCTGCATCAGTGACCCCTCTGGGTCCCACCCATCCCTTATCTCCTTCCTGATATCAGCCCCAGGACATTCTGCCCCTACACCCCCCTGTGCACTGACACCCACACCCAGGGCACTCAGCACACTTTTATTCCTTCACCTCATGGCACAAAACCTCTTGTCCAAATTAATGTGTTTCCTGAAGGCCATAAATATTATTAAGCTGTTTTTTTTTTTTTTCCCTGCAATTCCTTCATATATAACATCAGCTAAAAACATCAGAGAGAGAGGTGAAATTAAGAGAATTTCCAAAAGGTTTTGGCAAGTCCTCTGCACACAGCAGCGAGTTTGGAGGAGCCTCTGAATGAGGAGTGATCCCACAGCTCTGAGACAAGCCAGGGAAACGAGGCTTGCTCTGTCCCCACAGTGCCTGCATTTAAAAAAAAACTATTTATTTTAGTCCACGAAAATAATCATTCACATTGCTGTGAGGCTGAAGGAGAGCAGGAGCAACGGGGGGGAGAAGTGGGACACAAATGAACATTCCTGATGCTCGGAGGGAGGGATCAGGAGGAAAGCAAAGCCCTCCTTTCCTTCCCCCACTGCCCAACTTCCACCCCAGATGACAGGAGCCGCTCTGCCTGAATTGCTTCCAGATGTGCTCTCAGCCTGAGCACGTGGCCGGGCCTCTGGAGCTCCAGGCTGCATGGAAATGGTGATTTTGCATTCCTGCCTCTTCCCTTCCCCCTGGAAATTCAACTGTGCCACAGCCCTGGAGGTTCAGCTGCAAGTCACCCCTGTGTCTGAAGCAAAGGCAGAGAGAAAAGGCAAAAGCAGGAGAGAAAAAAAAAAAAAAAAAAAAAAAAAAAAAAAAAAGATTGATTTTGGCAGCTACCAAACCAGAACAACCAAGAAAATCCCTCCACAACCCTGCCCTTCAAGATAAGTGAGTGAGGTTTGACAACTGAATAGCTACTTTATACCAGCTTATTTCTTTTAAGCTGATGACTCCCCAGAGAGACCAGAACCATCTTTGCTGCTATAAAACAGATTTTTGAAAGGCTGGACCAGATGCTGCAATCCTGAATTAGCCAACACTGCTGCAGCATCCTAATCCATGGATGAACATCCAGCCATGGCTCTGCTGAGAGCATCCATCATACCAGTAATCCTCTGTGTTTCCACCTCTGCTGTAGACGGGGCCCTCCAGCTCCCTGGGCCCTGGGAAGATGTTCTCATGCTGGATGATGATGGTTTTGATCAATTCATTGACGTGAGCCTGGCAAGAGACCTGGTCGTGCCCCTCGGGCACAGACATCAGCGTGGGCCCAAAGCAGATGGCCAGGTTGTAGGGATCCATCATGTTTTCTTCACTGAACTGAGACAAACTGCAAAAAAAACAGAGGTGGGAAGGAGGGTGAGCAGCAGAAATCACCATCACCACCACCATCCTCTGCTCAGAACACACAGCTGAGCTCGGAAGGTTTGGTTTGGGCTTGGTGGGATACAAATGTGCTGGATCCAGGTAAGGAATGAGCCACTGGTGGTATTTACTGAGAAATGAAACAGGAACTGCAAGGGGAGTTTGAAAGCTCTGGATGCTGATTTTAATATTTGGCTTTATTTCTTCACTGTTATTGTTGTTCAGAGCCCACCTGCAGCCCAACTCAAAATCAGGGTTACAGCAGGACCCCCCCTGCCATGGATTTACACTGAAAAAGTGGAAGCTAAATGAGATATTGGGAGGAATTCCTCCCTGTGAGGGTGGGCAGGCCCTGGCACAGGTGCCCAGAGCAGCTGTGGCTGCCCCTGGATCCCTGGCAGTGCCCAAGGCCAGGCTGGACGGGGCTGGGAGCAGCCTGGGATGCAGGAAAGTCCCTGCCCTGTCCACCCTCAATAATTCCATGTCCATCCCAGGCCCTGCAGCAGAGCCCTGCTGCTCCCAGGGGTACTCACTGGTTGAGGAATGCAAAGAGGTATCTCATGACAATCAGGGTGGTTTTGGGCAGGTTCAGCAGCACCTTCCGGACGTGCAGCGCTCGCTCCTGCAAATTATCCATGGCTGGAAGAGAGAGAG